ACACACACACACACACACAACACACACACACACACACACACACACACACACACACACACACACACACACACACACACACAGATTGCACGCCTCTATCCGGTCAATCTCCATAGATCACGCAGTGGTTGGCTGACGTATATAAGACGTAATGACCCATCAGATCACATCATCACAATGCCACTCACGCCATACACTGCCCATCACAGTGCCATCGCCCCTGGTTCTCCCCTCTCCTCATCTCCGCCCCCCCACTCCTCTTGCTAAAGAAACATCGACCGGGGGCCATGTCACAAGGGGATCCATGTATAGCTGCAATGAAACATAAATTTTTGCTAAGGAAACATCGACCGGGAGCCAGTCCCATTTGCAGCGTTGAGTAGGTTCAACGCTGAGTTTTTATCACGTGTGACCTAAGGCGACCCTTTCTCTCACCATCCATGGCGTGGTCGGATTGTTATTTTTGTTTGGTTTTTTGAAGGGAGACGGCCTTGACGTAATTCAGAAATAGTTGGTTTGATCCAGCCGCCTAGCTCAGTTGGTTAGGCACGCATTTGGGAGGTTGTGGGTTCAAGCCCCGTGACCGCCTGCAGCGCACTTAGTGCCAACGGACTGTGATTGTCCTCTGGATACCCCTTATCGGTATTAGCAGGGTCTATGACCAACACGGGTGTGTGTGCGAGCGCGAGTGGGTTGTGTGTGGTGTGTGGGAGAGTATTGGCCATAGCCTCTGCTGCTACTCACTGAGGGGTGGGGGACGATGAGAAAGGGAGGCGCAGCTACTGGCGAAATGCTCGGTCTTTGCATTAGCCGTACCCCCACCGGCGGCCCCACCCCATCTCTGACTACCGCTGTTGGGGGGGGCAACATGCAATCCCTTCATTGTGAAGTAGGTATGCTTGCAGGGGTCCCCTCTATATAGTCTTAGGAGTAGTGGTAGGAAGGTAGTGAAAGGCAAAAATAATTTGAGAGAAGAACATAGAAAGAAAAAAAAAGGAATAGTTTGTTTGGAAAAAAAAAATTAAAAAAAATTGGTTTTACAACTTTTATTCATCAACTTCCATCATCTGGGGCCTCGTCCCACTAGCCCACTACCTCAGTCTTCTACGGATGCAGCGTTCAGCTTCCGTTTGCTGCGGAAGGTTGGCCCTCTTTTGGAAAGGGAGGTCACCAGATTCCGTCTCCCTTTGCCACCGACCAAGACATTGGCGTACGCACTCCATAGGTGGGCCCATGGAGACCACCATGGGCACAGTTGCTCAGGTTACGGCCTTGGCAAAACCACCGTGCTATTATGGACGTTGCAGAGGCAATAGTTGAAAGTTACCCGAGCGCCGTGGGCTTCGGTGGGTTCACCGAACGGCACGCCAGAATGCAGAAGTTCAAGTCATTGGGTTTCCCAAATTGCTGGGGCTGCATCGACTGCACGCAAGTGTACATTGACAAGCCTCGTTCCAAGGACGGGGACGAGTACTGCTCCGGAAGGAACAACAGGTTCTCGGTGGTCGCGCAGCTGGTGGTGGACGCAGAACTCAAGATTTTGGACTTCTGTTACGGATTTCCGGGCACCGTTGGTGACGCTCGTGTGCTGAAGAACACGTCTTTGTATCGCCGCGCATTGAAGGGCCACCTGTTTCTTGACGACGTCGACGACTCGTTCCTGGTGCAAAGAGACGCCATCCCGGGTGTGCCACCTGTTTCTTGACGACGTCGACGACTCGTTCCTGGTGCAAAGAGACGCCATCCCGGGTGTGCCTAGTGGGTACTTGCACGGGATGGTGGTTACCCGAGTTTGCCTTGGCTTGTGATTCCCTACAGCCGCCAACAGGTGGTCACGCACTCCATGGACGTCTTCGATTCGCTCCACAAGATTGTTCGGTCCGCTGTGGAGCGATTTTTCGGATTCCAGTTGTTCTACCGGCCTCACGTTGCAGACATTTCGAGGGAGAAGGTCGAATTCCACGCGTGTTGTATTCTACACAATCTGCTCCAAGAGTGGGGGGACCTGCCTGAAGAAGATTTTGATGTTTCGGACGACTCTTCCTCGGACGTGCCTTGTGGACCGTTCCCGGATGCGAGAGAGGACGGGTGTCCGTTAGAGTTCATGTTCGGACGGGACCGCAGGCAGGCCATGCGGGATGCTTTGTGTGCTGAAGTTCTTCGTTTGTATGAAATGGAAGACGAGCAATGACAGGTTTTTTATCATCCGTGCCACCGCAGACTGCCTGTTCGGGAACAGCCTTCAAATTCTTTCAACTTTTTCTTTTTTTTTTTTTTTTTTTGGACACAATTTTCATGGGCCGTGCCACAACACACTGCATTGGCAACAGTATAGCACGTCCCACTTCTTTGCAGCATTCTTTCTCATTGACGGGTTGTCTGCCAGCCCCACCGAACAGTGTGCGGTGAAGCCAGCAGAAGGTGAATCCGCATTCCAAACGCAGTTATGGCAGGGACCGATGGCCGTAGGGATTACGTCCGTGACAGGCAGGCGTTGGTCGAGGAGATGGAGAGTGCAGAGCGGGAGCTGGAACACATGCACAGGGTTCTCGTGGCGAGAGGAGACACCATCTTTGTCCGAATGCGCAACGGGAGAGCCGTGTGTGAAACGGAGGTCACACAAGACAGTAGAAACGCGCTCAGGTGGGCAGCAATCGTTGCGGACAGGGTGCGGTCATCAGGCTCTGGCCTGCAGCAGTGCTGCGACAATGTCGTGACCAGACACGTTCAATTACGGCGGGAGTTGCAAAGGTGGAGGATGATGTGGGAGGATAGCCGAATGGCGCATGATGGCGCCGCTCGGGGTCTGCGAGAAGCTCAGCGGGAGCTGGCCGATGTTCGCAGAAGGTGCGAGGTTGCAGAATCCAAGGTCGTCGTTGCGCACAGGCAGCCTGAAGATGCATGGAGATTGCTTGATGAAATTATGCACAGTGAATCAGCGGTGGGGAAGTAGGATGGTGACGACTTTTGTGAAGTCTTCGAGGGATTATCAGTGAAAGACAAAGGCAAATCCGTGGATACGTCCCATCACAAGGAAGCTTCTTCTCCATCTTCACCTACGTGTCCTTCCTGCGAGAACCTGAGCGGCCGTCTCGCGCACATGGAGCACGAGATAGTGAAGCTGCAAGCCACGAACGAGATGCTGTAGTGGCCTGCTTCGGTGTGGGAAGAATGGGATAACGATTTGAAGTTGTGTTGCGTCCTTCGAAAGTTTCCACACACACACACACACACACACACACACACACACACACACACATCGAGTTTTCTTCCACATCCGGGATAACGATTTGAAGCTGCAAGCCACACACACACACACACACACACATCGAAAAACAAACATATAGCAGGTCGCCAACCATCACAGTCGCTTTTTGAAACGTCAATGACCGAAGAAATGAAAAGACAATTGCTTGTTGTAACCATAATGACCGACATATATCAACAAAATATAAATAAAAAAAAATACAAACATAACAAGCTTGGCCCTCCTCTACACTTGATCCCTCTTTCACACACACAGACACACACACACGCACACACACACATATCGATAGTAAGAGAGAGAGAGAGAGAGAGAGAGAGAGAGAGAGAGAGAGAGAGAGAGAGAGAGAGAGAGAGAGAGAGAGAGAATGCTTTGTTTGGGGAAGAGGATATTACACCGAACAATACTTGAAAACACACCACCGAAGCTGGCGGAAAGAGAGACTTGCTCGGAAAATGGGCACGTTCGTCTGGGAAAAGAACACACACGCACGGGGCAACTTCCAAAAAATGCGAGCACCGATGCCACGTGCTGAAAAATAGCAGTGAACCTGCTGCTCGACAAATAACTTATCGCCGTCTACAAGAAAAAAAACAAAGTGGTTTTGGAGACAACCATGATGCTTCGCACAGCAACGGTGCACGCAAAAATACTCTGGCAGTAAAAATAACAGAGACCTACTTGGAATCGGAGGAAAGTGCCGCATGACCGTGTGAGTGGTCACGTGATCGGTTTCGCGATCGCAGACTACGGATGGCCTCTGCGAGCACAGCATACCCCGCATTCATCCTATCTCCTACAATGGCATACCCAGCATTCATCCTATCCCCTACGATGGCAGCCACGCGCTCACGCGAGGCTATGTCCTCCCTCAACAGCTCCCTCTGGAGATCGGCCTGCTGGCGCGCGACATCGAGTGTTGTGTCACAGCGCAGCTTCGCACACTGTCGATCAGACGACGTAATCGCTGAACTGTGGTCACGCATAGCCCCACACACTGCGCGCATGCTGTTCTCAGGAGCATTGCTGACAGCTCGTTTGCGTTTGCCCAGCGTGGGGGAGAAAGCACCGGACCTTGCCCCGCCACCGGCATCCTCGCTGCCACCGGCCGTATCCCCATCTCCGTCCTCCATCCGTTCTTGCTCGGGACCGGAGTCCCTCAAATTTGATAACCTGATGGAATCAGTGTCTCCCTCTGACGACGAAATGCTGTCATACCAACTGCGACGAATCACGAAATCCACATTATACCTCTTGCGCGTCGTGGAATTCATGTCCCAGTACGACGGGTTGCCTGACCACCTCTCATGCGCCTTCAGCTTTCTATAGAAGTCAAAAATCTGCGAGAACTTGCTCTTGCACTGCTCATGATCTCGATTGTACCCTTTCTCCCGCATGCGACTCTCAACAAGCTTCCAAAAGCCCGCCTTTACACGCGCCCTGCCAAGTACCTCGCTTTCCTCACCCATGACGCCCTTCACCTCGTTCCGAACCGTGCACAGCATTGTCGTTTCGTCCTCGCCCCAACGCTCCGAGTTCCTGTCAGGCGCAGGGGGGCGGGGAGCATGTCCTTTCCCTCGGTTGTCGACAGAGGTCCTCCCCGCACTCTCAGCATTGGACGGCCTGGATCTAGACCCACAACGGTCAGGTACCGGGCTCACACTTTGTCGTCCACACCCGTGTGCCGGGATGTCCTGTGGAGCGGCATGTGTGTCAGACACCGGGGAAACATTGATGTTCCCCGGCTGTCCTGTCCCTGCAGGCACCTCCACGGTTCCAGCAGCCGCCTCTACCTCCCTGAGTAAGCGGTTGATGATGTAATCAGAACCTGGTGTCCGGTCACCTGCCTGGCGACCTCCGTCGCCGTCCGAAACCCCTGATTGCGGTGTGTGGGACATCCTTCCACCGGGTGTCGGCAAACCAGCAGGGGGAGTGGAACATACGGCATTGAGGTTCTGTGTCCCGGAACTGACGCAGTTCGCAGAGCACAGTGGCGAAACAGCAGCTGGGAGGTTTATCCTCGGGGAAAAAGCACACTGTCCCTGCACTGGAAACGACCGAAAATCTGAAGACTGGCCGTGATCCATTGCCATTGCACGCAACCTCAAGCGCTCCCGAAGGCTGTCCTCATCTTGCTGCTCGACCCTGAATGAGACCTTGGCAAAGCCTCGAACTGGAGAGCTGAAGCCACTAACCGTGGCACATTTCCAAACAACTGCACTTGGTCCGCCCTTGCAGACTCCTGCCTGTCCACAGTTGGCTGATGCACTGCGGCGTTAAAACCAGGTGCAGCGTGGGTCCCACCATGCTGATCTTCGGTAAAATTCGCTTCTTTGGGAACTTGTGTGTGGAATGTGTCCTCGGGCTGGGACTCCGCATAGCCCCAATCGGGTATGCATGAAAGTCCCGCCGGATCACCCCCAGCCATGGGCGCAGGTGGAAGCCGACAAGATGCACGCCCTCACTAAAAATGGCAAGTCCCAGAAGAAGACAGAGCGACAACTGTGTGAGGGTACGTGATCGGCAGCGATGCGGTAGACAACAGCCACTGAAATGACGACGGGCGGATTCAGGCGGGCATGAGCAGAGCGATGTACCACCCGTCGTACAGCACCGCGGGCATAATGGCGCACTGGCTCCCGAAGGCCATAAGCATGCACGGCCTCTCCGTACAACAACTCACCGTCCATCCGCAAGGCCCCGAGCGTAAACCTGCAGTTCCTCACGCCTTCCATTCTCGCTGCGAAGTGCAGTGGGGAGCAGTGTCGCGATGGGTAGTGGCGACGGACCGGTAGGCTTACGAAGACAACGTGGATGCATCTTCCCATGTTCATGCACAAGATTCGCTACCACACCTATGTTGTGCGAAGAGCACATCGAAAAACGGGCGTCGCGACGGACCGCCAAGTGTTTCCACATGCCTCCAAAAAGCATTTAGGGGGTGGTGTACGTGGATGCAAAAGAGACCACATACACCACGTTGGCGGTGCATCTACTCCGTGATAGCGGTCGTGTACACCACGCACAGCTCGTACACCGTCTGCTACAGGAATCCAGCAACACCGCCGCACACCACGGAAAGAATCCAACTACTAGATTTTTGTTTTTTTTTGTGCCACGGTCGACAGCATTCCAAAAGCCCGCAAAGTCTTGAAAACGCCCCCCCCCTCGCGAAGTCTTGAAAACGAGACCAGCGTGAAGTGGAAAGGAAAAAAAAAATCCAGCGTGAAGTGCTTAAAACAAATTAAAAAATCCAGTGCCTACGTCCTCATTGGCCCAAGGTCAGTCATGGCCATTTCATCCAACCGAATCGGCCGTGCCCGTAGATCCGAATAGAGATCTGCGGGTTCTGGCTGTCACCCGCGGCCGCACGTGATCGAAAACGCCTGCGGCGTCGTAGAATACTTCGCTAGTGGGACGAGGCCCCTGGTTTCGAACAGGGGTCTGTATTTTCAACAGTTCATGGGTGCAGCCACGGAGCTAGGCTCTTGGGTACGTGGTCTGATTTTCAAAAGGAAGGGAAACGAAAGTTGGATTGCAGAAAACACACAGGAGGAGGAACGGGCTGTAGGAAAGGACGAAGTTGGAGGCGCCGTAGCGCTCAAATCCGGCAACGCGAAGAGCGTTATTGTTTAGGGTTTCCTTTGCTCGCCATAGCGGAGTTCTATCGTCATGCCCCGGGGCGCTTAGCAGGGGTAAGGCGAGTTACAGAGCTGTCGGACTTGACTGGGAGTCCGAGCACGAGTGACATGAACTTGTCCTGGGGAAGTGGCGTGGCGGGAGGGTGCAGTTAGGGTTGGCGGAGTTTTTCCTTCAAGATATTTCCTGAAATCTTGGAACCGAAGATCGCTGCAGCGACAGCGAGCTTCCTATGGAACCTAGCTCCTTCCTACCGGGAAGGTAGTGTATGGTCTCTCTCGGAGCGACCCAGCGAGGTTTGTTTCCTGGTGGGTATGATATGGGTTGCCCGCTGGGTGGTGGCGGCCACAGCATTTGAGGAGCCTTGCGGCTGGTTCAGACTGTAGTCGGGGCACAAGCGTGTGTTTTGTCGGATTCTGGGTAAGTGGGCCCAGAAGGTCCATTGGAGCAGGTTAATGAAGAAGTTCCCGGCTATGTGCTGATCGAGCTTGCAGATGTCTGGATGTCTGGAGTTCAAGACGCTTCAGCGAGGTATACATTCGTTCTTAATACCCCCGGACATGTGGTGTGTTGCCTTACCTGCTTTCAGACATGGCCAGTGACAGAGGCTTCTTTCCGAACTTACCCCCTTTTCCGTCTGTATGCATTCTTGAAGCCCTACGGTCATAGAGTTTTGTCTATACCTCCCATTACGATTCTACGGATTCGGGAGCCGAGGGGAACGTGTGAGTATTTCCGGCGATCGGTATTACGATCTTGATACAGTCTGGATCTTGAGTTTTGTGGTTTTGCCTCATGATATCCTTTTTCCGATTCGGGCAACATAATCCCTTGGGTTCCGGTCCCATACACCCTTGAAATAAATATGGATCTTACTTTCCGATTTTAGTAGGTGGAGGTACGGCCCTAGGCCGTTTAGTAGGTCGCAAGGGGGCGTGATTTCGTTTTTTTAGGGCAAATCGCTGCCTGACAAGGTTTCGGTGTCAGACCGTAATCGAGTGTACAGGCCGAGGCGCTGGAAGCAAGGAAGCGTGGTACAATTCCCTCCTCAGGCCGAATCTACCCATACTCTTGATCGAAGGGGGTGTCATACCGGTTTTTGCGCGGATTAGGCCTGGCCGTAAGCTCGTCCAGTTTTTTTTTCGATTGGGGAGGGGGCCCCGCCCCGTCATGAGGTAGGAGCTAGGATCCGATAGGTGAAGATCTCGCCCGTTCACCTTGGTCCTTCGAACCCTTGAGAGTCTTTTTACCAAGCCCGTATCGATAGCCTACGGATCTACGTAGGATCTACGTAGAATCTAGGTATAGGCTCGTCACTCATTTGGCCGCTCTTTTTTTGAGAAAACCTTCTGCATGCCCGACCCTCACTCGATAAGTCAGGTCGGCAGGCAAAGAACGCCTCGCCTCCTCGACGTTGCTCTCGCGCCTTCACTACCATTCCCCAGGTACCCCAGAGCACCTACCATCCCGACATACTCATCTCTCTTAAGCCCGCCGACTCGTAGGCTCCGTGTCATTCGCTCCTCGGTACCAACGCTTACGCCACGTTTCACTTTACACCACTGCCTAACCCTAGTTGCCTTTCTCCCTTTTCTCCCCTTCCGCCAGTCCCCCTCGCCTATCCACCGTACCTTTATCTGCGCTCCGAAATCTCGGACTTGTGATGAGTAACGGCTCGTGAAGCCCAGACTTTTAACCCCATCAACTCTCTGGTCCAAAACAACATCCGAGGTCTTTATTCGAATCGCATTCTGCAGTCTCAGTTGGCAGGCAGAGGAATCTTCAATTCTTAGCTTCGTTGCGTTTCGTTGTATCCGCCCCTTCCCCCTTCTCCTTCCTGTCTTTCGCCTCAGCATCCTCGAATATTCCTGCCGCAACGCTTCCCTTCCCCTCCCGCCGTCCATCTCGCCGACTTCTCTCCCTCCTCCCCCTTCCCCCATTTCATTCCAAACAAGGTTTTCCGGCACCCCTCTTCATTAGAACCTTTTGTAATCCCCTAGTTTTCCAGTGCGACACACAGCTAGCCTGCCGACAGTCAACCAGTTACATCCATAGGCGATCAGCTCGTTCCAATCATACCGGGAGACTCCCTTGGTGTGGTAAGTCATCACAGATCAACCCTCAAAGCAAGGACAGTCCCGTTGCGGCGGGTGGCATCTCACTGGAAGACTTGTTACTTACAGGGCAAGCCTCGTCTCCCCTGTGCTGATTCCTTGGGATTCCCTCCTCATCTATCTCGGTTTTACTTTTTACTTTTTTTTTTTTTTTTTTCCTAGACAACTACAACCAGCTATCACGGCCAGCACTATACCAGCATTTTCCACTACTTGGTCTTTTATTTTATTGTATTTTATTTTACTGCTTTGGGTTCTCTGCGTCAAAGTGGCCAAATCATGCTCCGAGTGGATAACTCAGATATGGAGTTACACTCTCCAATCACGGGTCAGGATCAGGTAATGGATCAGGGTGACGGAGGTAGTGGTGATATGGGGATTCCGGGCTTAGCATGGGACAGCTTCACGCTATTCTGGGCAACACAGCCAGCGTTGGGAAATGAGGGTTCAGCAGGTCCTACTGCTAACCCGGAAGGTCCCCAGCGGTCCCTGGCCCCACAAGGCGAGGTGAGAAGGGACAGACAGGCTGCGGGAGGTAGAGGTCTGGGGGGTAGACACTGTAGACATGCTGGTCCCTGGAACAAATCGGCTGGTTCCGCGGAACGGACATTCACGAATCGTGACGAGGGTCGGAATCAAAGTCGAGCCGCCCCCTCTTGCGAGTGGTGGCCGGTAGACAGTGAGTCCGACAGCGACCAAGAGGAAGCGATAGATGAGGATGAGAGGGAAAGGCAGACTGAACAAGGAGATCCACTTGCTGGCAGAACAGACACAGAAATAGTGGAGGAAGTCAGGATTTTGCTGGACAGGTGTTTTGACAGACTGGTTATCCCGGACATGTCGAAATTCGCCACCTTCAAACGTGATAGGGACTCAGTTACTATGTTTGTTCCCCCTATCGTAGAGCAGGCTCAGAAAGACTGGATGAGAGACCACGCAGTAGTGGTTTTTTTTCAAGGCAAGTTCAAGTCTGTATCAGCAGAGAGAAAAGAACAATGTATCCGGAGCTTTGAGGACTCGATCGTGCCGCAAAGCGTTCACCACAAAGAGAGGGGGAGGGTGCACCAGGAGGGAAGGAATGTAATGTCGTACTTCCCCCGGGATGGAAAAATCGTCGACCTTACGCTAAGCATGAAGAGTCACAAGCTAAAAATCGATGGCACGACCTACAAGCTCAACTTCCAAAAATGGCTATCCCCCGAGGAAATACAGACGGCTAAAGTCGAAAACGAGGTCAGTAAGATTTGGATCATGGCGTTGAGGGTGCCATGGCTCACTGTTCCGTTCGTTAGATCGCAGATTCAATTCGCGGTAGGCAGGGTCTTCAAACAGTACCCACCGGAGAGATATGATGAGGCTCCGAAGTTAAACAATGTGAAGTTCGACATCCCCCGCGATAGAAGAGATAGGGTACCAGGTTTCTTGAACTGGCCACAGGCCAACGACTCTGTTATTAGAATACAAGTGGTGACTCGGTTGACGGATTGGTGCTCTATGTGTCGTGAGTACGGACACAGGCCCGAGAGTTGTCCCCAGACAATTGAAATAAACATTGCGCATCGTAGGACTGGGCAGACACTCAACGGTGAACAGGACAGAGGACTGACTACGGTCAGGGCAAGGGGAGGGCTGAGTGCTGGAGCAGGATGGATCCCGAGGACTCAGTCCCCCACACCAGCAAGCTCCACCCTGCCTGGACCACCGACACTCAACGGTCCGCGGACAAGGAGTGCACAACCCCCCTTCTTCTTCGGGAGAGAGCAAGAAGAACAAACCAGGGGGGGAGGTATGCCAGCTAGCTGGTCAGGTGGGGAACCCGAGAAGCGCTGGAAACAACATGACCCCCCGGTCCGTTGGGAGGAGTTCCCCCCCATTTCTGATCACCGGATCTGCACCCCAAGGGCCCAAAACCCCTCGTCCTTCCACACCAGGAATCACCACAGGGACTGTTGCTTCGAGACTCTCTCCCCCACCTTCGGCCCATGTCTCCCCCCCCGCCGTCAGTGGGTGTCCCCTTGCCCTCACTGCTCCGAGTTCGCATTCCCCCTCTTCAATCCCCCCCTCTTCCCCCAAGACTTCAGAAAATTCACTCATTGCACTTAGGGGTAGCTCCCAAGTCGAGAAAATGGACATAGCAGGAGTTGGTTCTGCCGCTGGTGATCTTCTTCCTCCTTCTCCGGTTCAGGAGGAGTCACCAAAGGAAGGCCAGCAAGGAGCTCAACTCGAGATACAGCCGAAGACTGCGG